CAAAAAAACCACAAAACCAAAAAAACAAACTAACAAAAACACCAAAACAAAACAAAAAACAAACAAAAAAACCCAAAAAAACCAAAAAAAACAAAAAACAACTAAGAAACCCCATAAAAATCTTTCTGCCTGTAAAGGTTTCCTTCCACTTCCTTTATCTGTGATCATTTTTGTCCAGTGGGAAATGCAATAATTTCAGCTGTTCCCCAGGGCCAGGCAATCCTGTTTGCCCRCATCAAGTCCAATTTTCAGGTATTTTCAATATGGAAAAAGTTTTAGTTTGCTGAGCCATCATAAAAACCATCCCCATCAGTCTTCCACCTGACCACCGAGAAATTACCCTGATCAATGGTGTTAGCAATCAATAAAGCCCAGCATAATAACCAGGTAATAAAAAAAGACTGTGCACAAAATATTTTGCTGATATTTGGAATTTTCTGTCTGGTTCTAGCAGYAAAAGAAAACTTTTAATATTTAATCAAAGTAGTTATTAGGGGTTTTTTGTGTTTTTTTTTTAAGGGGAAATGGAATGCATCATTAATATTTCCTGTTGTTTATTAGGAGCAGTAAGTTAACAAACATATAATTACTTGTGACAACTTGACAGGTAATATCCAGGCTTCCAAAGCTCAGCAGAGAAAATGAACTGTAAAGCAGATTTTAAATGTTCTGAAAGCTGGTGTTTTAAGTCAGATATCATTTTTGTCTTTAGTGGAATGCTTGGATCTGRATGCTACAGAGTGATCCTCACTCTGAAATGTGAGGGGAGATCTTTGATCCATCTGAGATAATTCAAACTGATTTGGTTTTATTCTGACACTAAATACTGGATTTGTTCAGCTGGAGAGATGTTACCTCCACTCCACCCTGCTTCCCTGTTGACATATTCCTGCTTTTCTTCAAAGAAAATCTGGACTTATTAGGGTAAAAAAAAAACAAAACAAAACAAAAAAAAAACCCACAAAAAAACCAAAACAACAAAAAAAACCAAACAAAAAAACTTACAACATGACAATTTTGTTTTACCTGTTCTGATTTCTGGAAAAAGCCCTGGAATTATCTAAGCAGACACTACCACCAGCAATTTTAATAGTTATTGATTACTGTGAGAAGCAAAAGCTGACTGAAATTCCAAGATAATACAATGCATTTTTCTCTGGTGCCTTAGGAAACTGCTACAGCAGCATTAAAACTGTCTGACTCCAAGTGTCCCACCCCTGCACTTCACAGGAAAGGAAAAAAAAAAACAAAATAATTTATGGAACAGTCTACCAAGTTGAAAACTTCTATGGCTTGAAGTGAAATTTAGGAAACCAACAGCAAAAGATATTTGCTAAATTATATCAGCTATGTTGCATTATCATAATGTGGTTGGGAGTGCAAATGTTTATCTTTTTGGGATAAACATTCTGTCTGTCTGCCAAAAGCTGCATTTTTACACAGAAAGTGCAATCTTTACTTTTTTTTCTGTCCCAGATTTGAATCAGGAAATCATGGAAACTGATTTTACTGCCCAGGCAGAATGTCAGGGCTGAGACAGAGSATCCTGTAAGCCTGAGGAGGGGATTATCCCCGTTAACAATGCCTCCCTCCTGCCTCTAAGTTGATTTTGGGTAATTGGATTCCTGCAGTGCTCTCCTTCAGCCTCCCAAGGTCCTTCATGTGAAAGGTGAACTGAAGGGTCAATTTTAGTGACAATTTATGCAAAAAGATTTCTAAAATAAATTATTCTGTTGTGAGTTTCCAAGCTTTATATATTCATACATAGAGAAAGTCGTATGACAGCTGAAATGATGTCCTGAAGGATTCCTGTGGGAAGGTTTTTTGCTTTGTGTTCAAGAAACAGCAACATGCCCTTTGCTGAAGGACAGAAATACAAATAAATACGCAGATAATCCCTTTGTGGAGAGATCTGTGAGGAACCCACAAGCCTAGAGCCCTGAGAAGTCATCCTAAATGGGAACAAGCAGCTTTCCACAGCAAACACAACCTGGAGTCACCACTGACAAATTCTGCCCTGTTTTGTGGCTGTAACAACTGCAGCTCCTTCTCTGGAGGTACCAAAACACCCTGTCCTGGGGCTCTGCATCCTCCCAGCCATTCCTCAGACCCAAAAACCACAATTTAACCCAGCAAGCCTCCAATGGTGCTGCCAACAGGCAGCTTTCACCTTGCAATAAATCACAGAGCGCACACCCAGCATTGGGGTTTGATTTCCAAAGGTGCAGCACACCCACAGCTCTGCACTATTCCCACAGGAAAATCAGCCCTTGGATTACTTATTTCCCTCTTTTGTTCCAATTTCTCTCAGAGCAAAGCTGGTGGAGGGCAGAGGAAAGGGAGATAAAGGCAGGGCGTGGGGTTGTAGCACACCAGGAATGCTCAGGGGTTTAACAAAGCCTGACATGAGATTTGCCAGATGGTTCTGTACCGGATTGTAAAACTTTAAACTAATCTTCATTTAAGAGTTTTAAGGGCTGTATCCCTCTTATAAAGCCTCTTGCTCTTTTGCCTGGTTGATTCTGGTAAATTATAGATCAGACTTTAGAAAACTGCTTCCATGAGCAGCRGCTCCTTAAATCTCAGCTAAACTGAGCAAGAAGATTACATGTTATTATGATGTAGCACAGCAGGATTTTTGTAGAGCAAACATAATGATGTAGAGAAGGATAAAACTATCATTCTGCACAAGGAGGTCACCCACAGAAGAACAATGCTCTTTATACAGCTGGCAAATCCATCCCTACGTGGTGAATCTTCACTGGGCAAATGCTTTTCCTTAATGGTTCTGTAAGGAAACCCAACCATAAGCAAAAAACCCAAATCTGCACTTCAGGATTCAATGATCAAGCATTGTACCGCAAAGGASATGTCATTAGGGAGAAATTATTCTAAATACTACTGGCAAGAAGTATCTGTTTCAAGGGCAATTTTAGGGTAAATGCATCTTGTTGGTTTTGWGCAAGGAGAAAGGATTTCCTGCGAATCCTCAGGGATATGTCCGATAGTGTATGCAGCATTAAAAATTAAAATGCTCACTAATCTCACAAGCACATATATATATGCTTTTAATTGTAAATCTACTACAGTTCACACAG